TCCCAACAAAGTCATGCTCACAGATACCTGGAGTTAGAATCTTGAGAGGGAAGATGATCCTCCATTATACAGGTGGGCCCAGTGGCATCACGATGGTCCTTTTAAGAGGGAGGCAAGGTGTGATGATGGAAACAGAAGTCAGAAAGGGCGAGAGAGATGTGAGCTGCTATCCAGTGGGCTCTGAAGATGAAAGAAGGGGCCAGGAGTCAAGGAACACAGGCAGCCTCTAGAAGCTGGAAAAGGCTAGGAAACGGATTCCTCCCTGGAGCCTCGAGAAAGAACACAATCTTCCAACCCATTTTGGATGTCTGGACTCCAGCACTGTAAGATAATAAATTTGTGCTGTTTTAAAGTGCTGAGTTTGAGGAAATTTGTTACAGTAGTAAAAGAAAACGAATACAGAAGGTTTCCCTCAAATTTACATGGGATGATCTAACAGTGTCCTTAACTGGAATGAAAAGTATCTCCCTGTTGTATGTTGCTTCAGAGCTTACGCCCAGTACGACTCTCTGGGTCTACCACAAAGTGTGTGAGTACACAACGTTTATTCACGCTAAGAGTAAAACACAAATCTACCAGTTGCCCTTGAGTCAATACTGACTCATGGTGACCTCACGTGCGTCAGGGTAGAACTCTGCTCCAAAGGGTTTTCAACAGCTGTGGCCTTTCAGAAGTAGATTACCAGGTATTTCTTCCAAGGTGTCTCTGGGTGGATTCAAACCACCAACCTTTTGATTAGTAGCTGAGCACTTAACCATTTGTGCCACCCAGGGACTCATGCTAAGACTTATGATATAATAACGTTTAAGAGAATAAGAACCATTATATTAATATTTTTTGTTAAGGAGTATGAAAAATTTTGATAGTTTATGTAATTGTCATGCTTTTGAACTATTAGACTGGCAGCCTGTAATGCCAATTTAAAAGGTGTCCTTGAATACTTGATTTAGACTTGTGGTTTTAAGTTAAAACCATACTAAGTGAATTTTCCATTTTGGAACATTTAAAAATACTTTAAGGCCACTGATTTATATTATATTTTTGTATTTACAGGAATTATTTACTCACAAAGTTTTTTTTTTTTTTTTTTTTGTTAAGCGAGATAACTGAAGGACTTAAGAGAACTAAAATTAATTAAATGTATAAATGCTTCATAAAATACTTGAAAGTTTTTAATTAACTAAGTTATGAATGGAGCAAACATTATTGAAAAGTGTTTAAAAAGTAATTGCTAAAATCTCGGCTGATAATAAGTAAAATAATAGAATTTGTAAGCTGAACTCAAAAGCTTAAGGAAGAGCTCAGTTTTGAACTTGTGAATGTACTAAACTGACTATTAACTGTCTTTCTACACACAAACACCATCTTCGACTGCACTCTAACATTCGTATCAACAGTCAGTCAAGTCATTCGACCCCAAGTCTTAACAAAATGACCCCACAGACAAGCTACGGATAAATGCGTGCATTTCTATGCCAAGTTGTCTTTCATTTTCTTTCCCATAATTCGATGTCTCTCTTACTATCACTTTGGACATTTTGTTCCTTTTGTCTGACTGGTTATCGTTGTGATGAACGATGTTGTAAAACAAGCTGGATCAACTAACGGGCATGAACCATACGTCCAGGGCTACCACAAAGATAGACTCCAAAAGTTTTGGGGGAAAAATTGATATCCGATATTTTAAAAACAAAAAACAAAAAAGGAGTCCTCATGGCAGTAAGACTAAACTCATGGTACAGTTATTTTTAATTCTGAGTTGCATACTCGAGGGGAGGAGCACAATCTTTGCAGGGCTTAGGACCTCTGAAGGTCTTAGGCACTCCCTACAAAACCACCTGTAAAGTAAGTAGCAAAAGGTGCAGACTTAACCGTGTGATGGGCTAGACTGAGACTAAAATGGCAGAGCAGGACCTCTCTCGCCATCTGTTGGTGACAGGCAGAGAGTTTCCCATGTCCACTGCGGCTGGTCTTGGTGGCAGGTTTTCAAGCTGACACACAGCCTTGTTGGAAGTGATGGAAGGTGGAGAAGGAGGAGGCTCTCACCAGCCTCTCTGAAACAGCAATACACTTGCCTGCCAGCACCTGGCACTCCCCGTCCTTCCCTGCGCTAGTCCTCTTTATGGTATTTATCAGGAAGCGCTGGGTGGCTGCTAACCAAAAGACTGGAGGTTCAAGTCCACCCAGACGAGCCTCAGAAGAAAGACCTGGTGATCGACCTCCAAAAAATCAGCCACTGAAAACTCTATGGAGCACAGTTTTACTCTGACACACATGGGATTGGCACCGTGAGTCAGAGTTGACTTGACGGCAACTGGTTATGGTACTTATCACCACCTGACGATTATTTCACTCGCTATTTATCACTTTTGTACCAATTAGAAGAGAAAGGAAAGTTGACACTCTAGGCCAAGAGGACAATGGCCCAGGTGACAGCTTTGAAGTAGGAAAGTTCGGATGCCCAGGAATGACATAACCTGCTGTGATGGGATGTGAATGTCCACTGTGCAAAACGCAGCCATACCGTTCACCAGAAAATAAGTCCAGGATGCTTTCCTTGGTATTTGCTTATCTTCTCTCTCTTCTGTCACCACTAAAGGATCCCTGGTGGCACAATGGTTAAGTGCTCGACTGCTAACCAAAAGGTTGGCGGTTCGAACCCACCATGGGAGAAAAATGTGGCATCTGCTTCTGTAAAGATTTACAGCTGTGGAAACCCTGTGGGGGCAGCTCTACTCTGTCCTACAGGGTCGCTGTGAGTTGGAATCGACTCGGCAGCAGTGGGTTTGGTTTGTCACCACTAAAATGTAAGCTTCACAAGAGTAGAGATTTTTGTAGGTTTTGTTCACTGCTTGTGGCAGAAGCAGCTAATTCCCCCATTATCCATTCTCCCCTTCTTTCTCTCAGTAATAGAACTTAGTATTAGCTGGGCACGTGGTTGCCAGTGACAGAGAATATTTCCCAGCCTCCCCTGCAGTTAGATGTGGCCATGCCATCTAAGTAACAGCTGGTAAGCTGTGAGTAACAGTTACCTGTGCATCTTCCAAGTCTTGCCGTAAAATGACTGCCCCTTCTGGCAGGCCAGACAGGCTCCTGAGTGGCACTAATGGTTTGAGCTTGACTACTAACCTAAAGGTTGGTGTTCGACTCTACCCAGAGGCTCCTCAGAAGAAAGGCCTGGCGATCTGCTTCCATAAAGATCACAGCCAAGAAAACCCTACAGAGCAGTTCTACTCTGCAACACATGGGGTTGCCATGAGTCGGAATTGACTCAGCGGTACCTGATAATGGTACTGGTCTCCAGTAGTGTTGCTTGGAGAACTCTCATTTCCCAGGACACATCAGTCCACAGGGTAGAAACCACTGTGCAGAAAATCAACAATTAAGCCCAAAGACTCCACTCAATTAGCTTTCCTGTTTTGTTTGTTCATTTGCTTCCCTTCACACAGACAAGAGGCTTAAGTCTCCTATTCCAGAAGAACCATTTCAGTGGATGTGGACCATGAGAATCCAGGCCTTGGGGACAGTCCCCATGCCTCATCCACTGCTATGGCAACTGAAGTCAACAAGGTTAATAAAATCTGCGTTTCATCTCAAACTGCCAATTTTAAAAAACGAGAGACATTCCCATTCCATCACAAATCAAGAGTCCAGAAACCATGCGAAATACAAGTGTTTGGATGTGGTCATGGCATTTATTCATAATATATTTCGCAATGTATTAATATGGAGAATAACATTTATTCATATACTGCATATAACTTTTCCTGGAGCACTCTGGAGTTTATTTGTGGTTGGAGAATACTGCCAGGTTTTTCCTTATTCTTTGGTTTTGGGAAGTGGGCAGGGTTTCTCAAACCAAGCGTCTTCCATGGGCCACTGGTGATGACGTCCCTTCAGTCAGGCTGGAAGGGCAGAGAGACCACAGTTTTGGCACTTCCCTTGTGGAGAGAAGTAACGAAGAGTGGATTCATGGAAGATGAGAGAGATGTAGGCATCTTGTACTCCACAGTTCCCTTCTTCTCCCAAACGCAATTACGACAACAGCCGTGGACACCGGCAGGGTCTTAGGCTCGCGGCCGGAAGAGAAGTCACATCACGGGCCTCGAACCTGGTCTGAACTTCTCCAGGTGTGCTGGGGTGCTGAAGGCGCCCCCATCCTGCACATCCTCTGTCTTGCTCCAGGTAAGCTGGGATGCTGCTTCAGAGTATCTTGGCAAATCAGTGCGAGGGCATCCCTCTCCCAATGTCACTCTGTCACGAAGCTGCTGGGAGGACCCTTCACTTACCCACAGGGAGACCAAGGCACCATGGACTGAAGGAGAGTATTAGTAACAGCAAAAACAAAGTCGGACTCCCTTCCAAAAAAGGCACGTCCAGAAATAAGGGTAAACAGCTGGTCTTCTTCTATCCAAGTGATTCTGTCCATTGGGCATTGCCCTTCCATTCTTCCCTTTTATTAAAAGTGTTTACGTTTCTAAGTCTGAAGGTCACTTAAATACATACAACGTTAGCACCAGGGCATCGATTTCCCAGAGATCACATGAAACTAAATAGATACGTGACATAGTGAATAGGTGGTGCAAATCTGTGATATCACTAAACTACTTATTGGCTAATGATACTTTCCCAGAAATGTCAAAAATACCCCTAAGTGATTCTCATAGCACCTTGATGGCGGCTAGGTTGTTTTAAACAACAAATTACAATTAAAAAAAAAAGGAACCATGGAACATTTACAGATAGGAAGTAAACAACAGTGTACCGTGATAATGCAGGATCACTTTCGTCATATCACTACATACAATGTAGAGTACGTAAAATGCAGTGGTTTGACTGCAAGGAGCTCAATCATGCAACCGCAGTCACAATAGAATCATTTTACGTACAAAAATATTACATCACAATAAATAATTTCAAACATAAATATTAAACTTTACATCATTAGGATATTCCACACATATACACACACATATATACAGGTGATACATATGTGTGTGTGTACATATGTATATATATGCATATTTACACCTATGAACACGCACACACACACACAAGCGTACGAGTCCTCACACACACACAGGCACCCAAATTTAAGGTGGAGGTATTGCATTACTATCCTTCATCCATCCCGTAACGGCTTCCTCTTCAGAGCACCTGAAAATAAAAACAAACAAACAGGAAATGTGAATCTTCTGCCTCAAAGGCCCCACATCAAGGGTAGGCAGACCATAAATGTTTACATACAGAATTTAGAAATGATATTTTATTATTTGTTCTAGATTGTAAAAGTAATGCTTGCTTGCTGAATGAAACTTGGAAATTTCAGGGAAGTAAAAAGAATAAAATAAAGTAAACACTAAATAAAAATTAATTACAGTATGTGTTTTGGTGTGTATATTCTCAGGAACACAAAAAATAAATTCAGAAGAAAAGAAAGCAGAAAACAACAGGGGTTGCCGAGGTTGTGGAGAAACTGGAACTCTCATCCCCTGCTGGCGGGAATGTAAAACAGTGCAGCAACTGTGGAAAAGAGTCTGGCAGTTCCTCAAAAAGCTGAACACAGAACTACAATACGACCCAGCAATCCCAACCCTAGGAATATACCCAGAAGAAGTGAAGGCAGGGATGCAAACAGAAACCCGCACACCAGGGTCCGCTGCAGCACTTTTCACACGAGCCAAAAGGTGGTGGCAAAACGCCCATCAACAGATGAGTGAATAAACAAAGTGCGGTATCTACACGCAATGGAATGGTGCACAGCTGTAAAGAGAAATGAAGTTCTGATACACAACATGGATGAACTGTGAGAACACGGGACTGAAATCAGTCAGTGACGAAAGGACAAACTGAATACTGTATGACCTCACTTACATGAAACCCCATCTGAGGTAACTGCTCTCCGATTATTAGTATATTTCCTTCTAGGGACCGAGGACACTGGCTTTGGTGTAGGACACTCCTGGGTTCTCCCTAAGGAACTGACTGCCACCTTGGGCAACCTACTTAATTGTTCTGGGCCTCAGCTTCCTTATCTGGAAAATGAGGACAACAGACCCAACTTGGGGTCTGGTTGTGAAGATTCAATGAAATATGCCCATAAGGTGCTTAGCCTGGTGCCTGACATATAGTGGAAAAAAAAAAAAAAAAAAGCCCAGTTACCCTCGAATCATCTTCGACTCATGGTGACCTGTGTGTGTCAGAATAGAACTGTGCTCCACAGGGTTTTCAGTGGCTGATTTTTCAGAAGTAGATCACCAGGCCTTTCTTCCAAGGTGCCTGTAGGTAGACTTGAATCTGTAATCTTTTATTTAGTGGCAAAGCCAGTTAACTGTTTGCACCACCCAGGGACTCTGACATAGTAAGGGCTCAGTAAACGCCATCACCATTATCATTACTATAGTACTCCTGCCATTGCTATTATCATTACTAGGATACTCCTGTCATTACTATTATCACTACATCACTACTACCATTACTATGATACTCCTGCCATCACCATTATCATTACTATAGTAATCCTGCCATTGCTATTATCATTACTAGGATACTCCTGTCATTACTATTATCACTACATCACTACTACCATTACTATGATACTCCTGCCATCACCATTATCATTACTATAGTAATCCTGCCATTGCTATTATCATTACTAGGATACTCCTGTCATTACTATTATCACTACATCACTACTACCATTACTATGATACTCCTGCCATCACCATTATCATTACTATAGTAATCCTGCCATTGCTATTATCATTACTAGGATACTCCTGTCATTACTATTATCACTACATCACTACTACCATTACTATGATACTCCTGCCATCACTACTACCACCAGTATGATACTCTTGCCATCACTATTATCATTACTATGATACTCCTGTCATCACTATTCTCACTACTATGATACTCCTGCCATTAGTGTTATCATTACCACGATACTCCGGCCGTCACTATTATCATTAGTATGATACTCCTCCACCACTATTATCACTACTATGATACTCCTGCCATCACTATTATCACCTTAATGATACTCCTGCCATCACTATTATCATTACTATGATACTCCTGCCATCATTATCACCTTAATGATACTCCTGCCATCACTATTATCATCACTATGATACTCCTGCCATCACTATTATCACTATGATACTCCTGCCATCACTATTATCATCACTATGATACTCCTGCCATCACTGTTATCACTACTATGATACTCCTGTCATCACTATTATCACTACTATGATACTCCTGCCATCACTATTATCATTACTACGATACTCCTGCCACCATTATCATCACTATGATACTCCTGTCATCAGTTTTATCACTACCATAATACTCCTGCCATCAGTATTATCATTACTACAATACTCCTGCCATCACTGTTGTTACTATGATATTCCTGCCATCACTATTATTGTTGCTATGATACTCCTGCCACCACCATTATCATTACTATAACATTCCTAGGCAGTACTTTCCAAGGGTGCTCTCTGAGTCACCTGCCTCAGAACTCAGTGGGGAGGTTGTTAAGAATGCAGATCCCTGGGCCCAGCAGAGACCTAACGGAGCAGGTTCTCCGGGGGTGGAGGCCCGTGAGCAGAGCTGTTAGTCAGCCCTGATGCAGGAGGCCTAGGACCTCACCTTCACAGCCAGGGTGGAGACAGAGAGTTTCGGTCCTATGAGGACAGACGAGCAAGAGAGAAAAAGGCAGGACAGTTCCAGGTCTGCTTCAAGATGCTTCCCAGTCACCCTGTCTGGGGCAGCTGACCTGCCCACACTCAATCATTAGGAAATAGAGAGATAGAGAGAGAGACACACAGATGGACAGACAGAAGACTGACTCACCTTAGCTACAGAACGCGCACCTCCAGGCCAGTGCCAGAGGAAGGAGTGCACTTCCCACAGTAACCGCCACATCTCCCTATGACTCGGGTACCGTCCTGCAAGAAGAGCATCGTCTTAGACCACCTGCTTGGCTAATGCTTTCAGGAGTATTTCTTACTTGCGCGGTAGGTACTTGTGGAAGGTATTTGAAACTATCAGGCATTATTGAACCAGCAGGGTCAGCACAATGGACTCAAGCATAATGAGGACTGTGAGGATGGCGCATGACCAGGCAGTGTTCGTTCTGCTGTGCATGGGGTCGCTATGAGTCAGAACCGACTCGAGGCAGCTGACAACAACAGTGTCAGCCATGAACTTCATTTGCTCTCACAGACTTAACCGTCATCCATTTTAGGACTTTCTCTGGAGTCAGAAATAGAAGCCATGTACCCTGACCTGTCCTACCAGAAGTCAGGATGACTTAGCAGTGATACAGTTTGACTGTGATTTTTTACCTCAGGGTTGAGATTGAAATTTTTCTTTTTTTAAAAAAAAATTTTTTTTAATTGTATTTCAGATGAAGGTTTACGGAACAAATAGTTTCTCATTAAACAGTCAGTACACATATTGTTTTATGACATTGGTTAACAACCCCATGACATGTCAACACTCTCCCTTCTCGACCATAGAGGACCTTTCTTTTCGTTTGGTGAAAATATAAATAGCCAGAGTAACACCATTTCAAACATTTCTACATGTACAATTCAGTGACATCAATTACTTTCTTCCAGTTGTGCTGCTATTCTCACTATCCTTTTCCAAATTACTCCATCACCATTATCTTCAACTCACTGCCCCCAGGCTTCCCATTAAACCTTTTGAGTTGCTGTTGTCAATTTGATCTCACATAATTTTTTTTTTTTTGTACCTTAGATGAAGGTTTACAGAACAAATAGTTTCTCATTAAACAGTGAGTATACATATTGCCGTATGACAATGGTTAACAACCCCACGACAGGTCAACAGTGTCCCTTCTCAACCTTGGGTTCCCTATCACCAGCTTTCCTGTCTCCTTCTGCCTTCTAGTCCTTGTCCCTGGATTGTTGTGCCCCATTAGCCCTGTTCTGTTTTATGGGGCTGTCCAATCCCCGGCTGAACGGTGAACCTCTGGAGTGACTTCACCACTGAGCTAAAAGGTTGTCCAGGGGCCATACTCTCGGGGTTTCTCCAGCCTGTCAGGCCAGTAAATCTGGTCTTTCAGTTAGAATTTTGTTCTACATCCTTCTCCAGCTCTGTCCAGGACCCTCTGTTGTGATCCCGGTCAGAGCAGTCAGTGGTGGTAGCTGGGCACCATCTGGCTGTACTGGACTCAGTCTGGTGGAGGCCTTGGTAGCTGTGGTCCATTAGTCCTTCGTACTAATCTTTTCCTTGTATCTGTTCTCTTCATTCTCCCTTGCTCCCGAAGGGCTGAGACCAGTGGAGTATCTTAGATGGCTGCTCACAGGCTTTTAAGATCCCAGACGTGACTCACCAAGGTAGAATATAGTACAATGTCTTTATAAACTGTATTATGCCAATTGAGCCAGATGTTCCCCAAGACCGTGGTCCCCACAGCCCTCCGCCCAGCAATTCAGACCCTCAGAGAGTTTGGATGTGTCTATGGAGCCTCCATGACCTTTCCTTGTACAAGTTCTGAACAAGAACTGCTCTCAGTCACTATAATTGACCACTTAATGGTTTTGGACATTAGCTTTTGCTTTCGACTTGATAATATTTCTTAATGCAATCAATTTAAATTGAAAACACAAAAATGCAAGACTTCTAGACAAGTCATTTCAATGACAACTGGTGTTTGAATCACAAGGGATGTTAAGCTGCTTTCTACATTTCCCATATTGTCCAAAATCAAAACAAGAAGCTCCATTGCCATTCCACACAAATTTACAGAAGGCATATTTCCCATGTTTAACTACAGTTCCAGCAATGTTTTTTGGACTTTGATACAAGTGCCAGGAAATTTTCATGGTTTAAAATCCACTGAACTGTTCAGTTAAGGAGTTTCTATCTCACCTTCAATTGGAAATGATTAATCAGCGATGTAATGACACGCTAACGAGAAAAATCTAAAAAAATTACAGATGTGTATCAAATGATGAATCTGGTCAGTTACAATTACATGGTTGTGGACTGGACACCTACCTATCTGTATTCTGGGGCCCTGGTGGAGCAGTGGTTAAGAGCTCGGCTGCTAACCAACATGTCGGCAGTTCGAATCCACCAGCCACTCCTTGGAAACCCTATGGGCAGTGCTACTCTGTCCTATGGGGTTGCTATGAGTTGGAATCGACTCGACAGCAACGAGTTTTTTTTTTTTTTTAATCTATCTTTACAGAAAGACATTTTCAAAGATGAAATATGTAAAATCTCATTTCAGATCAACATTAACTGCTAAGTATTTGCAATCAATTTTAATAAGAGTATACTAATTAAGCAAAATGTTATCTTCCCTCAGTATGACAGGCTTCTCATTAGCAGGCCTGTATTATAACAAAAATTGTACTCAATTATGATTATATTTCGAATTTCATCAATACAAGTTTGTTTTCTCTTTTGTCATGTAAGTACATACATAATAGCATGGATTTTGCCTCTTGGCCTCAAAGCCTGAGACATTTACTATCTGGCCCTTTCCAGAAGAAATTTGCCCACTCGGTCCTGAAGCCCTGCAGTCTGTTGCTGCCTCCCTCTCCAGACTCGTCCTGCACCACTGCTCTTCTGACATGTCCCTTACACAAGGGGCTTTGCACTTGCTGTTCCCTCTAACTGGAAGTCCCTTCCCTCTGCCTCTCCTGTGCACTGTACCATCCCAACTTTTGCCTGGAAAATTCTTCAGAACTCAGCTCAAAGGCCACCTCTTCTGAGAAGCCTTCCTGACTGCGTTTCCTGCTGCATAATAGTGTCCTCTAACTGAGTGATTACTTCTTTAAAGTCTGTCTTTGTGCAAGAATGGAAGCTTCAAGATGGCAGGGCCAACATCCTGTTAAAATCAGACAGTCAGCTGCTAATCAAAACGTCAGCAGTTCGAATCTACCATCCGCTCCTTGGAAACCCTGTGGGGCAGGTCTACGCTGTCCTGTAGGGTCGCTGTGAGTTGGAATCGACTCAGAGGCAATGGGTTTGGGTTTCTGGTATTGGTTCCGGAGCGAACCCCTGCTCCCACCGGCTGGTTTTGGTCAACATGTGGTCTTCCAGCCCGGAGTCTTCTCACTAGACTTAAGTATGGGGCTGGTGGCCTCAGGATGCTGACATCCTAGGAATGTCTTCTGTCTCATCAAAAATTTATGCTCCACCCAAACCCTCTACTGACCCAGCGTAAGAGATATCCTGAGACAGACTGCCTAGGCCTTGCATTTAACCAGTAACCTTCAAGTAGATTCTGACTCATGGCGGCCCCATGTGTGTCAGAGTAGAACTGTGCTCTGTAGGGTTTTCAATGGCTGATTTTTCAGAGGATCGCCAAGCCTTTCTTCCAAGGACTTGAAACTCCAACCTTAGCAGCCAAGCGCTCTAACGTTTGTACCACTCAGGGACTCCGGGGCTTGTACTACAGCTTTAAATAACCTCTTTAAGCCTTGGCTCCCTCCTGTGTCTGTAACACGGGGATGATAAGAGTTTCCACTCATAGTTTTGCTCTAAATGAACTCATGCATGCAAGGTGCTCAGCACAGTACTTGGCCTAATGTACTCACTCAATGAATACCAGCCATTACTATTGTAAAGGCTTTTTTTTTTTCTAATGAGGGCTCTCCATCACAGCCTGTTCTCATGACAGTGAGGAACAGTCTGGGTAGTTACCAAGTTGCTGATACTGACTTCACAATGCTCATGCTATCTCATTAACTGGGGCTCTGTTAATTTGATTCTTAGATAAAGGCTGAGCTAAAACTGATCATTTTCACCACAGAATAAAAAAGCCACACTGCACAAACCAATACCATAAACATGATTGTCATGGAAACAATGTCTATTTCAGAGAAAAAGGTGTTTTCCAGCATTTTAGAAGAACCCACTCACACACAACAAAACGTTAATTGTAAATGATTTTTAGTTCTTTAAAGCAGGCCTTCTAAGAATCTTCTTTTCAGTGAATATTTTCTAACCTTGTTTGAGCTATTACATATAATTTAAATGAATGAATCTCTGTTCCATTAAGGATAGTCTGCATTTCATATTTTGTTTTACTAATTCTGATGTCTTTCTCAGTCAGTATGACTAAGAGAGTGTGAATCACGTGATTTAGGATGGTCATTAACTCTTCTGACTGAAATTATTTACACTTCTTTGGAGTGTGCTGATGGTGGAAGACAGCAGGTCGGGGGGGTGGATGTGGAATTCTGCTAAGACTATCCATACAGATAATAACAAATGGAGAAGTGATTTTAGGTCCTAAAATCCCAAGTTAGACTGAAAATCATGTGTGGTAAAATGTACCCTTGACTGTCCTTGAAATTGCCCATAGAACATAGAATATGCATTTGTTTTTGAGCACAGCCCTAGACAGTCACATATATGAATATACGTATTGTTGCGTTGTTAGCTGGTACTGAGTCAGCTCCAACTCACGATAACCTCACGTTCAACAGAACGAACGCTGCCCGGCCCTGTGCCATCTTCCTGATGGGTGGTATGTCTGAGTCCATGGTTGTAACCACTGCGTCCATCCATCTTGCTGAGGGTTTCCCTCATTTTCACTGACCCTCTGATTTACCAAACAGTAATTAGTAATTAGTAATTTCTAGTAATTAGTCTTTCCTAAGGACGTGTCCAGAGTAAGTGAGGTGAAGTCTCGTCATCTTCGCTTCTAAAGAGCACCGTAGTTGTGGTAAGGCTAACAGGCTGGTTCTTCTGGCAGCCCACGGCATAGCCGATATTCTTTGCCCGCCATAGTCCGAATGCACCCATGCTTCTTCTGTCTTCCTTTTTCATTATCCAACTTCCACAGCCATACGAGACCGAAAGGGCCATGGCTGGGTCAGATGCATCTAACATTCCATCTAACATTCCATCTAATATTCCATCTAATATTCCTGTTCCAGCTGCTGTTGAGTCAATTCTG